GAGGGTGTGAAATGGAAGACGAGACGGTAAGTCATACTGTTTGTGACTGTCCAAACCTCGTGTACTTAAGGGAATCTATTTTCGGAGTACCATGGCTCCAAATTTCGGATATAAGGGACATACCTTTCTGTTCTATATTAACGTTCATGAAAAGATTGGGCTTGTTTTCTGACCCTTGAATGAACAGTAAACTGTGGGGACGTACAAAGGGTCCGCTGGGGCCTAAGTGCTGTGAGTAACTCACCCCCACGTGAAACTACATACATCTACATACAACTCAAAACGGTGTTGATAAATAATATAATCTTTACGATAATCACTTAATTTTGGAGACGAACCCAAGTCTTTGCCAAATTCCAAATTTAGACTTTTATTTTCAGAAATTTCTACAGATTCGAATTACAAAATAATTTTATTTCTCTTTAAATGAAGTAAATGATGACACATAAAATCATAACAACATAACAATTCGGGCGATAAAAATTTCCTTCTAATAAAACGATCGATCCTATTCGCTCATTAACTTCTGTCGTGATAACTCTATGTTCTTGTATATATTGCATCACGGCGTCAACATCCGTTATCGATTCGTAAACGTGATTTTTACCTTCTTTTAACAATTTGTAATCATCACCACCTTTGGCTAAAAATTCGTTCGTTACGATGTTGTACTCGGCTTTGGGGTCGACGGGGTCATAAGAGGGCACCACGCATTTAGCGCAACGAGCTCGAATAAATTGAATTCGATTTCCGGGTGGCATCGTTTTATTACAAATTATATGCAAGCCGGATATTTGCAAAAAAGAACCCTTGTCGTCCTGAGTTTCCCAATTTTTCATACCTTGCTCGAGAATGTTATATAAATTTTCTCCCGTTATTGTTAAACTCACTAAATATTCCTTTCTTGGTAAAACTTCCATAATATCAGCTCGCGTGATTTCACCATTTTTCATATCTAAATTTATACCTTCCATAATTGATCCAGCATTCACAATAGCTATTGCGGTATCAGTCCAATAAGGCCCTTTGTAAATTGAAGCTTTATATTCAACAAAAGCATCCGTTATTAAATTACCCAAATTGCACTCATACCGTTTACACTGCGGATTGAAATTAACTCTTGCTTTTGCAATGATTTCGCCGTCGTATTTATCCATAACCGGCTTAAAAACTTTTAACATTTGACTTAATTTCTTACTATTTTCGTTATGAAACGTCATGTTTGTTAAACCACTTTTAAATGTTGCAATTTTACCTTCGTTATTTATCGTGAAATTAAAAACTCCCAAATATTTTTTAAAAGTCTTCAAAATAAACGTCGATTTCGATTTTTGTTTAATTTCGATTGGATATTTTTCGACCACCGATGTTTCGCCGATTATTAAATCGATTTCTGGGATTTCTTTGGCCATTTTCTCTTCGAGGTCGTCGTGCGACCACCCCAAAATGATGATTATTTTATTTTTAATCTTTTTTTCTTTATCAATTTTTTTTAATGTATCTTTAATCGATTTTATTGGATCACTCGCGAGTATTGGTATTTTTAAATCGTTAATAATCATGGAAATGTACCCGATTACAACTAAATTAACGTCGTTGTCGTGTTTTAATTGTATAATTTTGTATGGTAAAAAATTTGTTAAATTATTTGTGTTGCAACTCAAAAAAGTTTGATTCGATTTTTTGATAAACTCGAAAATTTCTTCGTGGGCCCCCATAAAAGATTTTGCCCCGACTGTCGTCGCATCCGGTTTTAAAAGATTCATTATTTGAGATAATATGTGAAAACTTAAAGCTTTATGTAGAAACGTTTCAACGTTTGAGTTACCAACGTTGAAAAGATAAACGTTCTTTTTCAACGATCGCTCGGTTTCCAAAAAATCGTGTAAACGCGTCAAAGTACCTTCTTGGTCTTTCGGTAATTTGAGGTCATCAAAAATCAATCTCATATTTCCAAAATGAATTAGAGTTACTTCGTTTGATGATTTTGATTGCGGTTCTGGCTCATCTTCGGTTGTTGATTGTTGTTGTAAATGGGAATCTGCATCTTCGACATCGCTTATTGTTGTTTCTCCTTCTTGGTAAGTTTTTTTTGAAAGAATAAAAAGACAATAAAGTAAAATGAGTAAATGATATCGTTTCATTTTTGACGTTGTCAATTAAATAACTATCTCCATGGAAAATCTTTTACAACGAGTACAAACATGATGGGGTTGGGTTGAGTTGAATTGGTCTATTCTAGGTAGATCCTACATACTACCAGCTCCAAGTTCTCAAAAGAATTTATAATAAATAAGAACAACAAGAAACTCAGTCATTATGAGCCTAACATTTGACCCAAACTCTGTTTTTCACAAACTAGAATAAATGGAGTCATTGCAGGTATGCAACCAATATCACGATTTGCGTATTGCAATACCAATACTGTGATATTGGTTGCATACTTGCAATGATGACGTCGAGTACGATAATTAATTAACACACTGTAGATAGTATTGATTTAGAGAAATCAAATGAACGGAATTTAGAACATTGAATATCACAACCTTAACTGGGAAAGAAGTGGATGAGATGGAAAAATATAAAGTTTAACAAAACATTTAGATAAGGGATATGCATTAAGATTCTCAGCAACAGTAGAAGTTGGCATAATCCTAAACGAAGCACTAGAAACAAGGGTAACAGTGATGAGAACCCACAAACTCAAGAATCATAACACTGTAACTACAACTGAAAGAGAAAGTAGGACTTATACAGGTATATTTACTTGTAGAAAATGTAAACAGGCAAGAAGTTACAAGATAACATTGATATTAGGAGACTAAGATCAACTAATAAATACAAAAACTGAGTCAGAAATGAAGTACCTACGTTGGGTAGCAGGAAAAACGAGACGTGGTGAAACAAAAGTATTAGAGCACAAGTATAGCAAGATTCCAAAGAGAAAAAACAACTTAAGTGGCATGGACAGCTGAGAAGGATGAGCAAAAACAAAATAATGACAATAAAACGAAATTTGATTTATGCAAGTCTTAAATAGACTGACAAGACGTATTGATAGGCTTTAATTTGGAAAAAGTGTCTCTTAAACTGGAGAGGAAAGACTCATATTTTATAGATGGATTAGTAGGTAAGAAGAACTCTCAAGGAAATCTTAATGGTTATCCGTAAAGCAGTTCTGCTGAGGAGCAACCTAGATCTTCCTTTAGAGTCGTTCTTAATCCTAAAAAAGCTTCTGGCCATCGAGTGAAGCGTTCGATAACTATAAGTACAACCTAGGGACGGAGTGAGTCGATATGTATATGATCAAATCTAATTTTAGGTATTTTGATGTTGATGATTGTCGATTTTGTATGTTTTTGGATCTTTGCATGTTGACATTTTAAGCAGGCATTGGTCCAAATATTAATTTGCTTTGACATGTGTGGCCAAAATAATCTAGTTTAGATTACATGAATGGTGGAACGTATTCCGGGATGAGATAAGCTATGAATTTTGTCGAAAATTGCTTGTCTAAACTGTTGTGGAATCTAAATTCTTGGAGATGATGAAGAGGTTTGTCATCAAAAAGTATGGAATATAGCTAGTATACAAAATAAATGTTTGGGCTAGCATTTTTCGTGGACAGGTTATAGGGCCTTTTTTATAAATACTACCCTTAATGCAGAAAGTCATTTAAGTCTACTGCAAAATGAAATAATGTCTGCGATTGAAACTTTATTATCAGAAGAATATGGTCGAATCGATGAAGATATCATCTTCCAACAAAATGGAGCACCTCTGCATTATGGTGTTCAGGTGGCAGTACGTAAATGTACGTGTTCCTGGAAAATGGATTGGCAGACATTGATTTATCTCCATTGGACTTTGTTTTGTGGGGTTACTTAAAAGACACGGTGTATAGAAATCGATCGTGAAACCTAAATGACTTAAGAGAGAGAATTGCAATAATAATAAAATCATTAATTTGTTTTTTTTTAATCATTGAATTTGAGGAAGGACTTGCTTTTGTAGAATTTTGAGGTTGTTCTTGAACAGCCAAGAGCTCATTTAATATGGTATCGTCATCTGTGGCTCATAGTTGATCGGCATAATCTACTAAACCCATCTTTTTATTGTAATCATTAATTTTCGTTCTCTTGAAACTGGTGGTCTCTTCTGTTCCATGAAAATGAGAGCAAAATTTCACGCACTCACTATCCTTCCATTTGTAATAATGCTTCATGGGATTGAATTGTTTCATACTTGACCTCCCTTTGAAGATTATCATGGATTCGTACACACCCAACTGCCTAGTGCCATGATAATAACTGAAGAGCTGACGGTTAAGCGTTTCAAAATACGGACGGAACTTGTATAGCTTGTATAGCTGCAAATATGACAAAATCTCCTGAGTGAAGACCCAAGTCTTCAGCATTACTCCAGAAGAGTTTATAGCTTGTTTTTTTTTTTAATTTATTTACTTTTGTAAAGTGCCAACTCCCATGCACGAAAAATTCTAGACATGGCTCTTGAATTTTCGTAGATTCTCAACTACCTAACAATGTGGAATATACTGTAGTTCAAGAACACAGTACAACAGAGATAAATTCTAATTCTAATCAACAGAACACAGCAAGGAATTTACAAGATGTGGAGGTAGAAGCTAGTGAAGTTATACTTCTTATCTGAAGATACTTTGGAAGACGAAAACATAGAAGTTACTGAGAAAAATTCCAAAGAGGCGTTACAAATTGAAGACACAGATTATCAATTGTAGTTCAAAGTCTACTGCCTAACTCATCGGAAGATATTTCTATGGAAGAAATTGTGATCTATGGAACAGATATGATCGATCTACTGAAGACTTGCATAGCGAAGAAGAAAATGCGGAAAACCAAGAGCCTTTAAGAAGAAAAAGACTAAAAGAAGATACGTTAAAGAAGGCAACTGGAAGAGGGAGAAGAATAAAACAACAAGAGAGCTAGGCGACTCGTATAAAGGAAAAAAGATAGTTAATGGGAAATGGGAATACAGCATTCCAAAGCAACAGCGAGTTCTGAAAGACATATTCGTGCAAAATATCTACCAAAAATCAAGGTTTAGCAAAAAAGCCTACTTCAAAATGTTATTTATTTTCTGAGAAGGACAGAAAATCAGAATTCGACAGTTTTTGGAAATTGAGTTGGAATGAATAGATACTTTTTGTGCAGCTGAATATGAAATTGAGTGAAACTCAACGACACAGAGATCGAAAAGAAGACTATTTACGAAAAAACTCTACCAAAAATTAAGTCGCATTATTGTAGATCAACATCTAAGAAATTATATCTGGAACCACAATGGCAGTCCAAACAACAATTGTATGAACTCTACAGTAAAGATTGGTGTCATCAAAGGAACGTGGAGCCATTTTCTACTACTTATTTTGACCACTATTTCAACGACATGAATTTGAGTCTATTTCAAAGAAAGAAGGACGAATATGGCTTATGTGTGGCTAAAAATGCGAATAATATTTGAGAAGAAGAATACATAAAGCATCAAGAAAAGAAAAAAGAAGCCGGAAATAGGAGTAGGATAAAAGCAGTGAGGGCAACAAAGTGTATACTATGGACATGCAGGTAGTTCTTTTGTTCCCAAAATCAATCACCAATCGTCTCAAGCTTGTATTATAAAACAAAGTTAGCTGCACACAACTTCACTATTTTCGATATTAAAACACATGCTGGATATTGCTTCTTATGGAGCGAAATAGAAGGAACGGTGGGTGCAAATGAATTTTCTACAATAATTTGCTATTTTGCAGAAACCCGGCTGCCACATCTTCAATCTGGACAAGAACTAATTTAACGACCAGAACCATATCAAGTAAAATATTTAGAGTACAGTTTTTTCCGAAATTTTAACAGCATACAGTCTATACTTTCTATTAGGCCAGGAAAAAGATCAGGAGATCCTACTGTAACTGACTTGCGTGAATTACGTTATTTATAACCCAAATGGTACACTTGAATTTAAGCTTCGATACACTGAGGACTAGCAGCCTCCCCCAATTAGAGGTAACAAAAAGGTACCTTTAGGCATACAATTTAATGAGAGTTTCAACATCTCCAGGCATTAAAAACCACTATGTTGTCTGATTACCACGCATTCTATAATAGCTGTAAGTTATCATCTTTAAAATTTTGTTTTTCATAGTATGCTTTACGTAATTCATTTTGAGTTTACTCGTAGTACAGTTTATGGTCGAGTGTGTAGGTACATATTTAATTTTAAGTAAATTAATGCTATTTCTGAGAAATATATATGTTTTTTTATATTATCTTGAAGTACCTTTTTGTTTAATTTTAAATAAGTAAACACTGATCATCAACAAAACTATTTCTATCATTTTTTTCACCCGAGCTTTGCTAATTTGAGTAATTAGGGTGACGATAAAGTGTTAAGACAACAATGTTGGTTACCATAGAAACGAAACTAAGAGCAATACAAATAAACAAATTTAGCCAGAATATGTCTCATAATTAACCAGGAAACTTGTATTTGAAACATTTTTCATTTAAATCACAAATGGCGTATTTACTTTTGTTACACCCTGTATATTAGTTAATTTTAAAAACGTACTGTTCACAGGGAAATTTTAATTGTGTTATTTTAAAAAATATTGTTAATAAAAGTTGTTTATAATTGGATTTTGTACAAATATTGTTTATAAAATTTTTTGATACGATCAATAATTATTGAGATAATCTCAAAAATGTCATAAATATGTTATATATATCAGTATACAGCGCCACCTAGTAGAGATATCAAAACGTTTTATTAAAATAATCGATTTCAAATCACAATTTAAGCATATATTGTTTCAAACAATTTTTGAAAAATTAATAATTTTAAAAACGTACTATTCACAGGGAAATTTTGATTGTGTTATTTTAAAAAACATTGTTATTAAAAGTTGTTTATAATTGGATTCTGTACAAATATTGTTTATAAAATTTTTTGATACGATCAATAATTATTGAGATAATCTCGAAAATGTCATAAATATGTTATATATATCAGTATACAGCGCCACCTAGTAGAGATATCAAAATGTTTTATTAAAATAATCGATTTCAAATCACAATTTAAGCATATATTGTTTCAAACAATTTTTGAAAAATTAATAATTTTAAAAACGTACTATTCACAGGGAAATTTTAATTGTGTTATTTTAAAAAACATTGTTATTAAAAGTTGTTTATAATTGGATTCTGTACAAATATTGTTTATAAAATTTTTTGATACGATCAATAATTATTGAGATAAGCTCGAAAATGTCATAAATATGTTATATATATCAGTATACAGCGCCACCTAGTAGAGATGACAAATTTTTTTATTAAAATAATCGATTTCAAATCACAATTTAAGCATATATTGTTCCAAAAAATTTTTGAAAAATCAATAATTTTAAAAACGTACTATTCACAGGGAAATTTTAATTGTGTTATTTAAAAAAATATTGTTAATAAAAGTTGTTTATAATTGGATTCTGTACAAATATTGTTTATAAAATTTTTTGATACGATCAATAATTATTGAGATAATCTCGAAAATGTCATAAATAAATCACACATGGCGTATTTCCTTTTGTTACACCCTGTATATTAGTTAATTTTAAGACTTAAAAGTTGACGTTTCAATAAAATTTAACCTATAAAATAAATGTCAATTTTGACAACTTTAATAATAAAATAATTAGTTTTAGGGGTAAACCCGTTATATCGTTCGTGAAATGCGCAAAAAAGATTATACGTAGCTCTTTAGTAATAAACAACTTATACAATAATACAACTTACCTTGTTTGGTTTGATTTTGCTCTGGATTTATTAATCAGGATCGAAATGTTGATGAATTCGGAGAGTTCAATTAATTCCACACAAATTTTCACTCAATTCAATTAACAATTACACTAATTAACGAAAAATTGCATCAAAAACCGAGCACTTTTTGATCAGGTGATGACAGCTGTTTTTTTTAGGTTATTTTGAAACAGTTGAGCATCGCCTACTTGGATCAAAAACAAGTTTTGACAGTCAAAAAGAAAACTGTAATTAATTAAAAAATTTGAAATCAATAAGAATTAATTGAAATTTAATGAGTAAGAAATCCTTTTTAAATTTATATTTGAATCTAATCTTTTAAGGAAGAATTAATAATTAAAATAAAATTATTAATAAAGTGAGGTTATATATTATACAAGATTTATTTTTGGAGACAAATTAATACTTTTTGTATCAAATCAAATTTAATTTCACAACTTCAAAAACAGTTTAAAACTAATCCTATCACTACAACAAACAGATTATAATCAAATTTAACCCCTTTGGAAGAACCCATCACTATTCTTGTCCTTTCATCTAATTCTGGAGTAACAACATTCACCGTTTGGAAATATTCAATCACAGCTTCCGCTTCAACCGCATCCAAAGGAATATAATTCCTTGGTTTATCCCTAATTATAGAGTGCCCATCGCCGCCCTTCACCAAAAACAACGTTGTTATAATCCTATAATATTCGTTCTTTGAAATCGGGGAATAACTGGGCACATCACAAGCTGCACATCTCACTTTAACGGAAATCACGCGATTTCCTACAGGTTTTTTGAAATTATACTCCACTTTTAAACCTGAAGTTAATAAAAATTCACCCTTCGAAGTTTCCCCGTTGGATCTTGCCCCGATTTCCAACGATTTCAATAAATCTTCACCTTTTAATTCGATTAAATAAAGTAATTGGCCGAAGGGAAGCGATCCGAGAATGTCAGCTTTATAAACTTGATGATCTCGTAATGTTGAATTAATGCTTTGACGGATTGAACCCGAATTCATTAAGGCTATGGCAGTATCCGTCCAATAAAGTCCTTGATAACGCGATGATCTGTAATTTATGAAAGCGTCCATTGCGAGGTTTCCAAAATTACATTCACGTTCTCTGCAAGTATCTCCTTCTAAAAACACTTTCGTTTTTCCAATCATAGTTGTGTTTAATGCGATTATATCAGGACGATATTTGTCTAAAAGTTTTAATACTTGAGGATCTTGAGGAACGGTTTCGTCGATGAAAATTGGTTGTCCCCTAAATGTTTTTAAAACACCGTTTCGATCAAAATTTACAGATAATTTTCCTAAATATTTAGTGTAAGCGTATGCTTGTACAACAGGAACTATTTTGCCACTTTTTTGAACCACTTCCGCCGGGTAAGCATCTTCTGCCTTCTCTTTATCCGGTTCAACACCATTCCAAAGGAAAGTATTTGTATGCCCACCAATTACAATGTCGACCTCTTTCACTTCTTTAGCAATTTTCTTATCCATTTTGAACCCGGAATGTCCTAAAGCTATGATGATGTTGATCCCTTCTTTCGTGAGACGTTCCGCTTCTTTTCTAACCGATTGAATCTCGTCGTTAAATCCTATACTGCCAACTGAAGACATTAAACGAGTTTCCGGAGTTACGTATCCGATTATTCCGATTTTTCGACCGTGTAAATTTAAAATTATCGATTTTTGAACTAAATTTTTCAATTGGGGTTCTTTGGACAAATCAAGATTTGATGCTATTAAAGGAAATTTTATGTTTTCTAAGAAAGGGATTACTCCTTTTACTCCATTATCAAATTCGTGGTTGCCAAAAGACTGGAAAAAGAAAAATAAATGATGATAAAGATATTTCATAGATTTTTGATAGATCAGATATGGAAAAAATTGAAAATATGTTCAGAGACATAAAGGAAGACATCAGAATGGAGATGAATGGAGAGAAAAGGAAGGATGCAAAGGAAGGCAGAAGGATGGATATCCTAAAAAATGCTAAAGAGTTGAAAGGAACGATTATATGGATAGATGAGGACTACTCTAAGAAAGTTCAGAAAGATTTGATGATTGAACACCCTTAGTATAGCAAAAAGAGACTAACCTGTAAAGAATGTGGTGGAAGAAACCATTTTGCAATAGTTTGCAAGAAAAAGGAAGGAAAATCAGAAAGATAAAGAAAAGAAGAAATTTAGTAAGAAAAAAGTGAACAGAAACAGGAAGATGACTGAAAAATCAAGAAAGAAACAAGACAAGGAGGCAGATAACTGGAAAGGATCAGCTAATTGAGGATTGATCTGACTGAAAACTAGATAGAGAAGGAAAAAATTAGGTAATGAGGCGGCAGACTAAACAGTGTCTCTTAAAAGACTTAATTTAATATGAATCAAAGAGATGGAACAGAACGAAAAGAAACTTATAAGAGACTGAAAAGGTAAGATGGGAACTAGACAGAGAGGAGGAGATTGATCAGAAAAGAAATAAGACTGAAAGGCAATAAGTGAGGCTCTAAAACAAGAAAGAGATGGAAAGTGAAAAGACTCAGAGAAACAAGCAAAACTGGAATAGAATCGACAAAAAATAGAAAGGAGTAAGACTGATAATTGAAGAAATAGACCAAAAAGAGGTAGTGAGAAAGTCCAAAAAGAGAACAAAGATATTGGGCAAAAGGAGAGAATATGGAACGAGGTTGGGAAGATAAAAAGGAAATGAGAAGAGCAGGCAGAAGATTCAAAAGAAATATTGATATGATAATATTAATAAAATTTCCTGAAAAAAAGGTATTAAAGAAAACATTGTCAAATTTGTAAATATAAAATGACGTAAAATTTTCAAAAAATCATATCATCTCTATTTTTAATGGTAATGATATAATGTATATGTTAAATTAAAGCATGAAGATTCTAGTTTATGATGTGATATAAAAACTGTATGATAATATTAATAAAATTTCCTGCAAAAAGGTATTAAAGAAGACACTGTCAAATTTGCAAATATAAAATGACATATTTTCAAAAAATCATATCATCTCTATTTTTGGTGGTAATAATATGATATATATGTTAAATTGAAGCTTGGAGTTTGTAGTTTATGATATGATATAAAAAGTATATGATAATATCAATAAAATTTCCTGAAAAAAGGTATTAAACAAAACACTGTCAAATTCGCAAATATAAAATGTTATATTTTCAAAAAATCGTATTATCTCTATTTTTAATGGTAATGATATAATGTATATGTTAAATTAAAACATGAAGATTCTAGTTTATGATGTGATATGAAAACTGTATGATAATATCAATAAAATTTCCTGAAAAAAGGTATTAAAGAAAACATTGTCAAATTTGCAAATATAAAATGTCATATTTTCAAAAAATCGTATCATCTCTATTTTTAATGGTAATGATATAATGTATATGTTAAATTAAAGCATGAAGATTCTAGTTTATGATGTGATATAAAAACTGTATGATAATATTAATAAAATTTCCTGAAAAAAGGTATTAAAGAA